GCATTTCAACCAGTTTACATAAAATTGTTCGTATTCTAAATCATTTCAATTGCATAAAGAATTCGAAAGCACGTAAAGTAATTTGAGAATAAATCTTCGTTATTCTTCATCGTTTTTTGAATGGTTGGAATAATAATAAATAATATCAAAATATCGACTCTAGCTCCTTTGGCTTCGGAGATATATACGAAAAAACCTAAAATTTCAGAATTTTACTTTTTTGCTGTGACTTTTTCATTTGCATAAATATTGAGAATCACTTTGCCATTGAAACTTCCATTGTACTATCCGAATATGATATTATAATGTTTATACAGGGTGTGCTCAGACTTTGGGCAACCTCAATTTTGAAATCTTCAATGAGTCCTGTATTTTTGTAACTTTTTGTAACTTTTGATAACGTGAAATGAAAGTTTTTTCGATAACCCCGATGGTATCGATAATTTGATGACCATCAAATAAATTCTTACTATTTTCTGTATCACAGCTTATTGCCAAGCACCTGAAAATGTGGTGATATCAGAAACCTCTTATATTTACACTGAGATTTTTCCACAACTTCCAAAAACTCAAACTTTCATAGCCGGCCTCCATTTTGGCTCCCGCAGTGTTCAATCGGAAGTCGTTCATCAATAAAAAATACGTGACATAACAATTTTTAAATATGTCAGATTATAACAGTGTCAAGTGAGAAAATGCTGAATACCAGTTGATTTTCTCTTATCTTTCTCATCTTTATTTGTCCTGACGAAGGTAATCAATTTACCGAAAGCTTGACGGATAACATAAGTCTTCTTTGTAACAGCCCTATCAATCTGATTTATTTCAAATCTGAATTAGCTTTTTTTGGTAGTCAGTGTTATAGTTGATTCATGAATTACTTAGGAAAATGAATCGTTATTATTATTAATCAATTCGTTCAATTTTCAATTCGGTACTTTCCCAAAAATGAGTTACCTTCGCCACTCAATTTTTTTCTAGCGATATTGAAATTGAACGTAAAAAAATACTGATCCGCCATGAGATCCAGAGACCAACCTTTCCTAACCGAGGTTATGGACACCATAGCCTCTTTGAGAGATTCCAAAGGCTCCCCTCCGGACAAAATTCTAGATCATATCGTATCTAGCAGGCGAACTCCTTTGAAGAACGCTTCTCTGCAAGTCAAAAAGGCCCTCAGAACCGGACTGAAAACCGGCCTCCTCAAAGAAGTTTCTGGAAAGTTCAAATTGGGGCTCGATCCAAGAGACTACGCGGTCTTCAAAAATTTCCGTCAGTTGGAGAGGAGCGGCGGATTGCCGTTAAGAGAGAGTAGGAGGGGTAGAAAAGGACGACGAAAGAGAGGAAGGAGCCGAAAACGCCGAGGAAAAAAGAAGAGGCGTACTCATGGACTTGCAGATGAATTGTTCAATCTCCATGAAGAAAGTGAGTAACTCAATATATTTTCTTGTTTATTTCAATTCTATACAAATCTATTCACGTTGCTCAGGTCTACAATTCAAACACTAGGAAAACCTGTAGTAATAATGATTTAAGTAGCAAATTCGAAAAATACTGGTTTTGGGCGAGTATCCAAAATACTAAGACGAGCGAGCCGTAAGCGAGTCCTGATGGAAGTGTGCAAGTCCAAAACACTGTTTTGGGACGTGTTGCGTACCCTATTTTTTCGGCAACCGCGAAGAATAACAAATCAATCAGACACATTTCTTCAGTAAACTTCTTTGCAGAACAAAACATTTTAATTCTCATTTGTTATCAGCAAATAACTTCGTTGAATTTTGAGGAATGCCATAGCCTGTATAATTTTTAGGATTTGGTAAATTAAAGAATTCTACCATTGCCAATCCGAGATTCCAAAACTTTAGATATCAACAAGTTGAATCAAACATTCTTTTTTGTAATTCACGAATAATGTGGAGTATGGGATGGGCGTGAAGAAAAATATTGTCCATACAGAAAATTGACCAACTACAATAAAAGCTTTTCTCAATATGCGTTTTGAAAACTGGTATTTCCACAAGCAAAATGTTTTCCTGGTTTAATGGAATTATTGACAATTTTGTCGCTACTTGAAAATGAAGCAAATTAAGTTGATACTTTTATATCCTACAATCGTTATATTTTGTTATACTTACCTTTAGTATTAGATATGTTTCATTATCTGTTTTCCTAATGAATTTGTTGGTCTGCTCGCTGTTGAAAACTTCTGATTTCTCTACTCTGTAACCAACATTTTTCCTTTTAAGAAATGCGATAACCTTTGAGAAAGTGGCTGTTTACATATTGTTTTTTCACTAGAAAGGTACTTTTCAACATGGAGTACAGAGTGGACCAAATTGTACACTTCTAAAGGAAAACTCCTGTTTTCAAACAAGATATATGAAAACTGATGGCTATGTCTGAGAATCAAATTTCATGACAAACTCAATGGAGAAAACCGCATATCGATATCTATCATCGTTTCTGAATTAAAGCATGTTTTCCGAAAATGTGCATTTTTGAAAAGTTGCTGTAACTGTTTTCCTGTCAGAACCTTCTTGTTTCTATGAAAACATTTCCGAAGCACTTTTTTACAAATGGCGAAAAAAACAAATTTTTTTCAAATATCAAGTGTGCGTTTCAAAGTCTACATGAAAAATCTAAGAGCTCTTGGAAAAACATCAAGTGTGCTACATTTTTGTAAAGACAATTTCAAGCTCTATTGAAATAT